ATTTTATTGGTACGGTTTATATTACTGTCAATTGTGCTACTATTTGTTTTATTTCTGTTTTTATTATTATGAAGCAATTATCAATTTATCATTTTATTAATATAAAAGGAAATTCTCGTTACATTTGAGAAACCGTATTCGTTAAGCATAAATAAATTTAAAATAGCCTTTAACACTAAACGAATTTATGTAAATGTTATGAGGCATTATCCGGTTTATTATACACATTATTTTAGATAACGCATTAGGAATATATTTATTTCATACCTTCTCTTTTCTTTTTCATCTAATATTCCAATTTAAATATGCTTATTTAAGTTTATTTTTTTCTCTTTTCCTACTGGAATATGGTGAATAATTGATTTTTTATGTAGGCAAATTTGAAGATTTTTCTTCATTAATTTTAACTTTTACTGGTTGTTCATTATTCTACCTTCTTCGTAGCATCATTATATTTTGTCTTTAATTATGATAATTTTGAATTTTCACCAAAACTACGGACAGTGTAAACACACTTTTCAAGAAAGCAAGAAGTATTATGTGACGAGTACGAATTAACTGAAATTTTAAAAGTACTAAATAATTAGCTTTGCGAAAAGACGAAAAATTGATATTCCGCTGTGCCTTTTTCCGAAACTAAAATTGAAATCTGTTTTATTTGAATAATAAAAAACTTATGCATTCTTTAATAAATGAAATTAAATCCTATAGGGAACTTCTTTTTCCCATTCTTACGACTGAAAGATGAAATTGTAGAATGACGTATGGAAAAATCTCTTCAATAAAAAAAAAATGAAATTTGTTTAAAATATAATTTCAGCATGAGGGTTCTTTTCTTTTTTATAATTCATGCCATGTTCGAATATTATGAACTTTTAAAATCACAAGTTCAAATTTTAATCACATTCAAATCTGAACTTTGAAATTTCAGATTTGAATGTGATTTTTAAGCTAAAATTTTGATTTCAAATTCGAGCTAGAATTTTGATTTCAAATTTTTTTTTTTCAAAAAAATGTTAGCAAATAAATGTTTGCACTTTAAGCAATTTCGGAACCTAAAGATTTCCTTTCATATGCGACCATCTTCTTAAGGAATAATAATTTTACTGTTTAAAGTGCAAAAGATTAAATCATAAAGCTGAAGTAAATATTTTTTCTCTTCTAAAAAGATTTGTTGTTTGAAGCTATAAAAATAACAATGGTAAAACATTTCGCATACTCTTAAAATGTTTTGCATGTCGTTTGATAGTAGAACATTTCCCGTCATTGAACATTCTTATTTCTTTTTTTTTTCTTGCAAAATTTTATGTATTAAATAAATGCTATGATTTTTTTTTCAGTTATGGCGGATACAATTTCATTCTACGATATTGGCGGATACCGTGAAAATGTTCGACGTTATAAGGATGGTATCGAACAACTCACTGATATCCAAACAATGATGAAGGTTCTTTTTCTTTTTTCTTCTCTCTCTCTCTCTCTCTCTCTTGTATATTCTATTATCAAATTGCTTATTTTGATATTTTCATTTGTGTTCATTTAATATAGTTATTTATCATACAGTTATTAACAATTCTTTTTTCATTCTTTATTTGTTCCATTCTGTTCGAGAATTTTTAATTCAGAAATTTTCCTTTATATCTGTTTACTTCTTCACATGCTCATTATTTTATTCATAATCAATGTAAATTTCAAGTTTACAACAAATATAACTTGCTTTTTCTCTCATTCATTGTGTTCTGTCATTTTTCTTTTTTCATTTTAGCATATCCTATACTTTACCTATTACTGAAAATTGCAACATGTAAACGATAATATCATTCCTTTGCATTTCTAATCTTACAAATGTTCATATATAATTTCTCGTAGTCTCATAGATATTTTTGAGATAAATTATTAAAATGTAGTGAGATGTGTTCAAATATTATCATTCAAGACCGAACTGTAGATGTCGTTGGAAGGGATGTATAATTAATGTTTAAGAAGAATAAGCACTCTTTCCTGTAATCCATTCCGTCAAATTTTTCTTGTTTAATAGATTTTCATTATTTGCAATCATTTTCAGATATATGAATAGATATTGATTTTAGGAGAGGATAGATATTGAAACAAATTACAACAAATGCTTGCAAATTTATTACGATAAATGGTCCGATCATGTTGGTGGTTTAGCAAAATCAGCGATACAGGTAGTTTGGAAAGATATTCTAGAGGAAAGCATGGAATTACAACGCTTGCATGCAAATGTTCGAGATCGCATATGTGATGAGGTTAGTTTTTGTTAAGCTTAATAGGATATTTTACTGTATGATCAAATATTTCCTGTTGATATGAAGGTTCACATAGTTTATGTGAAGTTTATTAGCTTGAAGTGAGGTGCATATTTTGTACAAGTGCATGTTTTTGTCAATATTCTATGGGAAAACTTTTTGATAATTTCTTAAACTTCTTTATGTGTTGCCAGAGACAACAAAACTTTGTTACATTCAATTTGAACACTGTTTCATTGTTGCTTTTCTTTTTGAAATTTATTACATCAAAAATATCGGCAATTATCACTAGCAGGTGGTCAAACTTGATCGTATGACGGCCGCAATTTTAATTGCCTTCTGGGAGATGAAAGCATGGTTATGTTTGACATGGAATTGTTGTTATACATGAAACAATGTGCTTAAACATTAGACAATCGAGGTAAATCTCAATATCATATTGTATATCTCTTCATTTCAGATTCTGAAAACAGTTGCACTTTATCTAAAAGAGAATCATCATCCATCGCCATTTCGGGCATCGAAAGAAACGCGTGAAGTTGAAGATGATTTTGAGAGGGCACAACGATCCTGGCGACGTCAATTCGAAAAAGTTGAAAAAGCCAAAAAAGCATATCATGCAGCAGCAAGATCAGAAAGATCAGCCCAAATACAGGTTAAAATTGATTCTTTGCTCATTCTACACTCTGTAAAATGATTAAGCATAGTCTTTGGATGGAAGAAGCTCAATTTATGCTTGATTTTTTTAAATTACAAAGTTGTCATCATATTAATGAATTCAGATGAAGAATGCATGTGGCGATGCAGCACTCTCACCTGATATGCAGTCGAGATATCATGATCGTTATCAGAAATGTCAAGATGAGCTAGCAAAATCTGAAAAAATTTATCGTTCTACATTGGACGATTTGTATCTTTTGAAGAAGAACTACGTGTCACATATGAATGATGTAAGTTATACATGTTCGTGTACTATGTAAATGCTTTTTATTGTTTTTTTTTTCTTTCATATTTTCTTTCTATATATATATATATATTTTTGTTCTTTTTACAAATATTAAGTATGAGGTTTTTTTCCTGATTCACTTGTAATCCTTTGGAAAATTTTCTCAAGATAGGATTGAAGTTGTTTTACTATCAAGAGATCAGTCACTTTTTTTTCAGGTTTTCGAAGCATGTCAAATGAAAGAACTGAAACGTCTGAAGTTTACTTTTGAGATGCTTTCCAATTTGCAAAAAGTTTGCTCCGACTTAGCATCTGCCACAAAGTAATAATAACATTTATTAGATGTAGTTCATTGCGAATTTGAAGTGCAAAAATTAATTGAGTAACAGTTCGTGACGTTATATCAATATTATTTATGACTTTTTTGATTAATTAAGAATTTTTGAAGCTGCACGAGTAGTTCTTTCCTTGTTTGTTTATTTTAGCCAATAAATAATTATCAAATTTATGATATTGTGTAAATGTAAGATGGTGTAGATACTATTGCTACGAGATGAGATAGATGTGGAAATATAATCATACCTATAGGTTAAATCACTTGCATCGTAATTTGGAAAAGAAGCTTGGGACGGATAATACTCGTTTCAATGACGACTTGGAAAATTGGTCCAAAAAGTATGGCCCTCAGTCTGAAACCAAATGGCCAGTTTTTGAGGTGAGTTTATAGTGGAACGGATAAATTGTACGAAATATGTTTATTTTTTAGTAAGTGGAAAAAACTTTTTTCCATTTAATTTCTACTCATTCTTAAATATCTTGCATTTAATGATTCTAGCCATTCATACCGTCGTTGAATTCTATCACATCCCGGAAAAAGAAAAAGGATGGCGAAGTTGTTCTTATGAAACAAACATTCAAAGATGTTGATGGTCATGATAATTCAGTCTATTCTGCTCCGAATTTAGTCTCGCAAAATGCTCATTTAACGACACCAAATTCTGTGCGTACTAAAATATCCGTAAGTATTATTACGGCAAATGATATAAGACATTTTATAATTGGAACTTAAAAGCTGATGGATTGTTATGATTTAAAGTAGATCTATTGTTTGCAATAACGAATAAATAAAAGAAAGTAAAATATGACATTTTTTAACTTTTTGCTAAAGCTTTAGCATCTCTTTTCTCAAATCTGTTTTTTAAAATTTGATTCTGAAATTTAAGATTAATGATGTTGGAGAAGCCATTGTGGACCATGCTAATGGAATATTATCAAAAAATAAAACGGAATCAATCATCACACAGAATTGCAAGGAACCATCTTCATCAGTATCGGCGCATCCACATACCGATCAGTCTCCAGTGATTATTGTTGATGTGGATAATGCCGGCAATAATCCTGGTGGATCTTCACCTATGGAGGATGTTAAGCCTTATACAGCAAAAGTACTTCATGATTATGATGCTCAAGACCATGATGAATTATCGCTTAAGAAAGGTATTTCAAAATTTGCATCGGTTAGTAGTGAGGTAATAGGAATGAAATGATTTCTTTGTTATATTTTTTTTCTTTTTCTTTTCGATTAACTTTTAAGAGGGAGCACAGTGAACATTTCTAACAGTTAAATGTAAATTATCATATCTAATTGCCTTCTTTTCATCCATTTCTTCTTTTCTCACCGTTTTATGTTCATCCCTTCTTTTCTTTAAAAAGTTAATTTTCAATAAACTACATTAGTGTACGCTTTATTTTTCTGGCAAACAGCAAAATATCTTTGATATCATTTACCTAACAGTTTGCTTATATTGTGTTTTTCAAATAATTTTTTTTCACTTAATATTTACTTTTATTGTTGTAAAAATAACTTGCTTGATATTAAGCCTTTCATCGTTATTTTTAGGTGAAAATATCACTGTGCTTAGTGGTCCGGACCACTTGAATTGGAGTTTGGGGATGAAGAATGAACGAACCGGTTTCTTTCCAGCTTCATTCGTGCAAAAGCTCTAATGACGTGCAAGGGAAAGTGTTTAATCTTTCGTTGCCATTTTAGGTAATTAATGATAATAGTGGTTGTGATTTTTAAACTTCAATTTTAAATTCTGATTTCGTTCTATTTTCACATGATTTGTTTTCTACTGAGCAATACAAATAACAAGCAAAGAAGTGATGGCGCTGATATTTTTTAGATATTCTACTTTCAATATCTGTTTGAGAATGGATACGTATTTGTTTTCGTAAATATTGAATCTATTTTACTGTATTATAACTTACTCTGTTCCAGTTATTCACTTTATTTCTTTTTATGCCTGAAAATATTTCGGCGTTCTCATTAACTTCTTTAGTTTAGTTCAATTTATTAAGTGTTAACTATTAAGGGAAAGAAATTTCAAAGTTTATGTCCAGGATTTTTTTGGAACGGCATGTCTAGTGAAGTTCATATGATCAGATTCGTTTAAATGATTTTAAATGAAATTCATCAAGCCTAAAATTTTAATCACATGTAATCCATCCACTGCAATAAACTTTTTTGTATTTTAGTTGTATTAGTCGTCTACAGCATTACCATAAATTTATTACCATTCAACGTTTCATGAAATCGAAGCTACTAACTCACTTTTTATTCACGGAATGACACATCTAGCGTGATGATGATTTATATGAAGTCAAGTCATAGATAGCAAATTATTCTGTCAGGTAAAAATAATGCCAAACTTTTATTGACGAAATGTTTTTGGTCTAGTACTATACAGGAGATAATTTATCAATTAATAGAAATCATGATTATGTCAAATATGAATGATGATGATGGTCATATAAGTGAAAAATTATGTTTCGCGCTATTGTATCTTCCTCTAGTCATCGTAATTTTTTTTTGTTTACAATTGCGTTAAGTAATTTTTTTTTCTTGAAATTAGCGATATTAGAAATGTTAGTTTTTTTTTTTTTGAAAAAAATAATATTGTTGCATGCAATATCATTCCTCGTTTCTGCAATCCTAATGCTCCACTTGGCTGCCTTACGTTACGTTTCAAACAGATATTGATCCTTTTTTATTTTTGAAAAAAGCAATTTCATTTTTTGTAAAATTAAATTTCAATTAGTTGTTGCATTCGAATTTCACTTACATTTTAACTTTCATATACCAAAGGGAATAATATTTAACAGACAAAATCCTAATTGTTAAATTAATCTTTTATGAAAGCACACAAAATTGTTAAATAATTGAAAACAATGAAGCATATATAATTCATCAACAACGCTTCATATCTTGCCGCACAACAAATCCATTCCATTTTTGATGATACATGAAAAATCAATTATTTTCAGTCAATCTATTGTTAATTTGAAAAATTATCGATTCACATTTTTTTTTTCATCTTCCAAATAAAATAAAATTTTAGCTTTTAGTGACTAATTGTTGTTCCTTATTGATCATTGTCTAATGAAATCTGTTGCGCATTCAAGCATTATGAACATTTTTTCATTAATTGAAATGAAAATGTTTGTTCAACTGAAAAAATTTTAAATATTCGGACATTTTGCTATTTTTTTTTCATATTTCCCTCGTAATTAATTAACAATTTAAATGGTTAACTGTGGCTTTTAACATGATGCTATATAGTAAAACATGTTAAATTTTAGCAATTTTATTATCACCGAAGATGTATGAATTAATGCTTTAGTTTATACAATTAAATCAATTATAATACATGTAAATTTTAATTAGCCAATTGATAAATGTGAAATATCGTTATCTATAATGAATAAGAATAAGACAAAATTCTTATCAAATTATCAATTATCATTAATTGATTGGTTGATTATATGAATGAATGGTGTTCAAAAGCATTTTGTAATTAATTGAAACAATAATAACAGTAATAAAAGTATGCTCAAATATAAAGTGAATACATTTAATTGATTCTTCAAATCTTCTTCGTTTTCCTTTTCAATTACACAATAACGTCGGTAAAGTTATAATTACGACTGTTCTCAATCTGTCATAAATTACAACTTTCCATCTTTATTTCACATCATTTTCTTCATCATAATTTTATTTGATAAATTGTCAAAAAGATCCCATGAAACATGCAAATTTTCTTCTATTGTTAGTTGCATCATTTTGAATACTTTTAAAGCTGTTTTAATAAAGCTTATTTATTAGATAAAAGAATCGAAGTTAAATGCGCATAATGAATAAAAGTAGAAGTAGAGATAAAATTTTGTCATGATTTATGTACCAATTAGTTATTATAGTGACATGGATGATGATGATGATGATGATGATGGTGGTTAATGATTAAATGGATCAATGTGGATAGTGTAAAAAGACAGTGATAGAGTTGAATTGAGAGATAATGGTGAAGAAGAAGAGATAGGGTTGGATTGATATATATATATATATATATATGCTAAGCTAGCTAGAGAGAGATTGTTTGGTTGTTGTTTAGTTTGACGTATTTTTATTTCGTTTCGATAGATCGTGAAATACTTGGCTAACGGATGGCATCTGTTTCTAAATGGTTTTTTTTTTTTTTGTTTCAAAAACATAACATATACATTTCTCACATTTCTCAATGATTTTTCTCACCCATTCTTTTTCATTTCATTCTAGTTGCTTCTTTCATTTCTCATCTGAGAAATGAATATATATATATATATATATATATATGCATGCGTATGTGTTTAAAACTTTAAAAAGAGTTCATTTTATTCTGTTTAAAAGTTCATTTTAAACTTTAAAAAAAGTTCATTTTATTCTGTTTAAAATTGAAATTTAATTTAAATCTTTTTTTTTTCATCTTTCTTTTCCTCTCTGTTAATTCATTTCTTCTTTGTTTTTTTTGCAATTTTTTACGCTACGACAAGTTAATTAATTTATTTTTCTCTAAATAATGGTTTTACTTTTTTTAAAAAAAAGGAAAGAAAAAGGATTAATTCATTTAATTTATTTCGCAATGATAGTTATTATTTTTTAAATTGTAAAAATTAGATTGATTAGATTGATTTTTATAACATGTTTAAATTCGTTCATAATAGCTATAGGAATGATGTTACGAAGCAAAATTGCGTTTTTTTTTTCTAATTTAAAATAAATAAATCAATGCTTATCATTGTTTTTGGATAATTTTATAGTTGTTTCATTTATACTGTTTTGTGCTATTATAGAAATTTATTTGGTTTAAATAAAGTTTTAAATAAAACTCATCTCCAATAAATTATTTATTATTTGTTTAGCAATTTTTGATTACACATTTTATTTGAGCATTTTGCAAATCAAAAATGGACAAAAACCATCAAAATATTGATATATTTTTCGAAATGCTATAGATGATATACAAACATAACTTTGCTAAATTTTCAATTCCCATTGCAAATTCACTTATTCTATCTATTTCAATTTCTAATAATTTTTGATTTTTTCAAATTATTGAAATAATTTGAGAATAAAGTATTATTTGTATTGGTGATAACAACAATTATCAACGTTTTCTTTCTGAAAAATTTTTTCCACCTCAATTATAACTTTTGGATATCAGTGTTGAAAAATGATCATAATAGGAAAATAAATATAGGGTCTAGGAAAAGTATAATATTCATCAGTATATTTTTCTTCTTGTTTTTCAATATTTAAATTTAACGATTACATTTATTAATCGTATTAAATTTGTTTATTGAAATTTCATACAGTAAACAGGTATATTCTTTAGTCAAATTCCATTTAAAATACATTCTGACAACATACATTTCCATCATATTGTTCATTAATAATAAAAGGGTTACCGTCTATTTTTTTTTTCTCTTTCTCTCCCTCTCTTCTCGTAAATTTTGTTATTTGTAATGATGTGGCATTTGATTTTTGTTCATTTCAATCTTTCCTCAACTTTGATTTTATTTTTTCGACATTCCATTTTCTAATGCTACAATTTCAGTTTACAAATTCAATTTCTTCTTATTTTAGTTTTTAAGTTTCGATACTTTTAATTTTTTCGCTTTCGTTTTCGAATTCAAATACTTTCATTTCCTTTATTTTAAGATGACATTTCTCTGGTAAAAGTAATTTCCCTTTTTTTTTCCTTTTTTCTTTTTTTTTGAAACTTAGTTATCTTTAGATAATTGTTAAAATATGAAATCTTCCTTTTTTAAAACATTAAATAGAAATTGAGGATTAAAAAAATCTATGAAAAGTGCATTTTTTTAATTTAATTAATTTTTTATGATATAAAAACAATTTTGACAAATCTTCACATACATAAATGAATAGATGAGAAAACCGTAATGTGGAAATATTTGCTTCAAGGATTAACAGTCCGTTTTAATTAGCAACGTTGAATCATTGCCATCATTCATTAATTAATAATCATTATAATGAAAGATTTGATTATTTGCAGAGAATATTTTAGAACTACAATTTGATTAGATTAAACAATATTTTAAATGAAATCTAATTCTGTCAAGTATCCAAAAACAGGAAATTTTGAAATACCATTTACCTTTTCCTTATAAATAATTATTATTAATATATTTTCATATAAATTCTACTACAATTATTATTAGCAACAATAATGCTCATAATTCATAATGGTTATAATCATTACTGTATTCTACCATCATTTTTCTGATTATTTTTTTTCATCGTCATCATCATCAATAACAAAAATAACAACATCATTTATGGTGGTTTTAAATGTTATATTGTTGTCTGTAAGCCTATTTTGGATCGTTTTGTACAGTATGGTTATCGCAAAATTTTCCCTTATTATTCAATAAAATTCCGATTTAAAAAGTTTTGTTTTGAAATAAAACTTTCATTTTACACGATTGAATTTTCCGATCCAAATCCCCTAAAAGTCTTTTCATTTTCTACTTTCCGTTTGTTCGGTTTTCTTTGAAAATTCAAAGCTTGCGATAATGATGCATTTTTCTTTCACTTTCTTCATACTTCCATACATTTAAAAATTATTTAGCTTTTTACTTCAATTTCTTTTTTTTGGATTTCAGTTTCA